CTCGCCTCAACCACTACAACTCCCTTCCCATTGGATTACCTTCACACAGTCTATGCCCCCTTCAGTCCATCATGAATGCTGCTGCTAAAGCCGCAGCTTGGAAGAGAAGGCCGGTTGCTAGGACATGTTTTGCGGACTTGAGAAAGCGCATGTGTGCGAAACATGTTGTCCTGGCAACCGGCCTTCACTTCCAAGCTGCGGGTTTAGCGTGGGTTCCTCCCCTCCGTCTCCCGGACATCGCAGTGACATTACCTGGGACGCCACAATCACATGGTCCCTGCTTGACAGGTGCTTCTCTCCTCCACAGCTCCCCTCTGAGAGTACAGTCCGTCCATCTGGAAACCAGGCTTCTTAAAGCCACAGGTTTGTGCTTTTTATTTTTCATCTTGTGCTAAAACTGTACTGAGTTAATAAACAAAGCTCTGTGTGTAAAAGAGGTGTTGCGGCTTATTCACATGGGTGCTGTGGCCTGTACAGTGTTAATCAGTGTTTTTTTGTGTGGTTGGAGCTGTGTTTAGGTAGACCACGTTATGCTATGGGGACCACTGCAGCTGTAGGGACACAGCCGCAGGTCCTAATTTGACAGGTATGTGGATGTAGGTGTATAGCCTCAAACACAGACAGTGTATATAAATTCCTGTATATAAAGTCTTTCTCTACAGCCTCAGCTGCACTGGACAGTGAATGAACAGAAAGATCTCTGTACAGAGGCTCCTGTTTGTTCGTAAACTGAAAGCACAGTACATAGTGTACTTTGCATGAGTTACGAATGCACACAATGAGTGATTAGTACCAATTACTCAGTGTGTTCATTCAGGAAAGGAAGGGGCCAATACATATGACATATTTAAAGTCCCATTCACCTGCTCTCCATTCTGAAACATCCCCCTGTGTGGCTGCAGCAGCCAGCGGGAGGGACAGGAGGGAAGCCAACAGCGTTCCTTTGGAGGGGCACACGTGGGAGCCTGGGCAGCAGGGGGAAGGGGTTGATGCACAGGGGGGATGAATGTGTGGTGAGGGGATAATTACTGGAACTGATCCCCTGTATGACTTTCTCTGTAGCAGCTCGCAAACTGGCTGGAGGGAGAGGAAGAGAAGCCAGATTTCAGCTTCTGCAGAGACATACAGGGGATTGGTTGCAGTATTGCCCCCCTGTTCCGATCACCCTTCCTGCCCACAACTAATGCCCCTTTGCTGACCCGGGTCCTGTACAGGAGGACCCCCTTATTAGCTGATGCCACTGAGCTACTCATGCATCTGCTACTTCCACCAGTGGATCTCTGAACCTGAACACAGGTCTGTCCAGTTTGTTGTTGGAACCTTGAAGTCTACATCCAATCAAAGGGCTAAAAACCCTAAAACTTAATGCTGTATGAGGGTTTTTAGCCCTTTGATCCATGTGAGTGCATTTTTAGCCTATTTCCTATTCTTTTAATAAAATGTATTGTACTATGGGGAGCCCCTTTCCAAGGAGCACACCAGACAGGTCCGAGATGAAGTTCTGGAAAAGTTTAAAGCAGGGCTAGGTTATAAAAAAAATACCCCAAGATTTGAACATCTCATGGAGCACTGTTCAATCCATCGTCCAAAAATGGAAAGAAGATGGCACAACTGTACACCTACCAAGGCTGTCCACCTAAACTCACATGCTGGGCAAGGAGAGCATTAATCAGAGAAGCAGCCAAGAGGCCCATGGTAACTCTGGAGGAACTGCAGAAAGCCACAGCTCAGGTTGGACAATCTGTCCACAGGACAACTATTAGTTATGCACTCCACAAATCTTTATGGAAGAGTGGCAAGAAGAAAGCCATTGTTGAAAGAAGGCCATAAAAAGTCTTGTTTGCAGTTTGCGAGAAGGCATGTGGGGGACACAGGTGGAAGAAAGTGCTCTAGTCAGATGAGACCAAAATTGAACTTTTTGGCCTAAAAGCAAAACGCTATGTGCAGTGGAAAACTAACATTGTCCATCACCCTGAACACACCATCCCCACCGTGAAACATGGTGGTGGCAGCATTTTTGTGGGGATGCTTTTCTTCAGCAGGGACAGGGAAGCTGGTCAGAGTTGATGGGAAGATGGATGGAGCCAAATACAGGGAAATCTTAGGAGAACGCGTTAGAGTTTGCAAAAGACTAGGATGAAGGTTCACCTTCCAGCAGTAAAACGACCCTAAACAGAGCTACAATAGAATGGTTTAGATCAAATCATATTTATGTGTTAGAATGGCCCAATGAAAGTCCAGACCTAAATCCACTTGAGAATCTGTGGCAAGACTTGAAAATTGCTGTTCACAGACACCTCTCCATCCAATTTGACAGAGGTTGAGCTATTTTGCAAAGAAGAATGGGCAAACATTTTACTCTCTAGGTGTACCCTATTTTAACAAAGTCCTACTTCTGTTTTGCTGTGGGGGGTTTCTGTCTTCAGTAGTGATTTTTGCTTCCTCCTTCCTGTCTGTCTCTCCATGATTTGCCTCTTCACATTTCCTCTCTGCAATAACATGCTCCTACCACATTCTTCATGTACCTGGCACACAGTCTGATGCCGCAGCAGTGCCTCAACAAGCCACTGCAGCTACCAAATCACTGCCACCCTTTGTGCTCCCACCAGCAGCAAACTCTGCTGCTCTACATCACTCAATCACAGCAGCTGTTAGCGCCTCTAACTCTGTTCCTTGGCTTTTACCAATGCTGTAACTGTCAGGCATGGCAGTCTCCGGTCCCTGCAGGAAGCCACTGTCAGAGGCCCAATGATACCACCCTATTCTCAAACTCCTCTGCCTACTCCCAGCTACATCTCTCCACTGTGTCCACTCCTCCTGTATCCACCACTCCCATCACTACATTTAAACACCTTGCTCAAACCATCCAGTGCTCTCATCACCACACTTACATGCCTAAAGTCATCCCTCCCCCCTGCTCCCCCACCACCGCAGCTGAACACCTGAACCAACCTCTCCCCTGCTCAACTAACAAAAAATGTTTCCCATTCTCCACCACCACCCCTGCACACTAAACCCCTCCTCAGTACTACGCCTGCATAACCACCCTCACCCCTCCCAGCAAAACATCTGCACACATAACCCTGCCCCTCCCACATGCTTACCACCGCACCTGCACAACAAAAACACCTCCTCCATCCTGCTCTTATCACTACACCTGCATACCTACCTTCCCCCCCCCCCCCCCCCCCCCCGTTCTCACCAACACACCTAACAAAAACCTCTCCCTTACTCTGACAAGGACACCGACATATCTAGCATCACCCCTCCTCCATTTTCATCTGAACCCCCCCCCCCCTACAGAGTGTCACTCACATGACAGAAGCAGTAACAGATCGATTTGTAATTTAAAACTCCCGCTCTGTAAAAAGCAAGCAATGATGTCACTAGGCTCCGCCCCCACACATTACGCCATCAACCACGTGGCTTCGTCAGGGGAAAAGGAGCAGGAGTTTTAAATTACAAATTGATCTGTTACTGCTTCTATCTTGTCAGTGAAACTGGAACTATTTTATGTGAAATTAAAACAGTGTGACACTATAGGAGATGTCCTCTGTTCTTTCTATATGTGGAGCTAAGCTGAGAAGAGTCCCATTTATACTGTCATTGAAGGGGTGCCTGTCATCAGCTCTCTGCTGCCATCTAGAGCATCTTTTTGGAGTTGCCATGCTTGGTTGACCTGTATTAATTTATGGGTCCACGGTAGGAGGTGAGTGGCCATCCATATATTTTTTTTAGGTAGAGGAACACTAAGTCAAGGCGAAGCACTGTGTTTTTTTAAATAGACTTAATTTATCCGGAGCACATCGTATTGATTTTTCACAATTTAAGCACTTTATAGATTTCACCATTCAAGCACTTTATATTTATATTTCATATTTTGATTGAACTATCACATTTGAATCTGTTTATGGACTATTATGTTCATATGAGTTAGTGCAACACTGTTTATGTATGTATAATGGAACAATATTCCTCTCCCAAAACTCTAGCAACTGCTCTCCTCAATTCCCAGATATTTACAGAGTGTTGTTAAAAGAAGAGATGTTAATACTGTGGTAAACATGGCCGCTTCAACTGTTTTGAGACATGTTTCTTCCATCAATTTCAAAATTACCTTATTTTTTTTTAAATGGTGTATTTTCCCAATTTAAATATTTGATATGTTTTCTATTTTCTAAAATATGGGTTTCTGATATATGAAAATCACGGCATTGTTTTTATGTAGATTTTACACAGTTGTGGAATTGAGGCTGTACTAGACATTTTCTGCTTAAAGGGCTCAAAAAAAGACCAGCAGCCTCAGCCAGGGTTACTTTATCATGGCTCATCAAGACCAATTAAATGCATATGTCTAGACAGGTATTTTTGCCTAGCTTTAGTACATTAACACATGGAAGCCAGAAAATTTGAAAAGTGGCATCACTTACTCCCTACATAGTTCTCCATAAAATGGCGGTAGTTCTTATTTTTTATGGTGCACAATATTTGAGCAGTTATTTATCATATGCATACGCAAACACAATATTATACCATATATATATATATATATATATATATGTGTAAAGTTTATCCACTTGTCCTCCAGAGGATTTACCCCCCCCCCCCCCTTCCTGAACAGGCCATTTTTTGTGTTATGGCGCTGTTAATTTAACTGACAATTGCTCGGTCATGCAACGCTGCACCCAAATTAAATGTACGTCCTATTTTTCCCCCCACGAATTGAGCTTTCTTTCAGTGGTATTTGATCGCCAGTGCGTTTTAAATTTTTTGCGCTATAAAAAAAAAACAAAAAAAAAAACTATTTCTGGCTTTTTGCTATTAAACATGTCCAGTGAAAAAAAAAAAATCTAATTTCATCATAAATTTAGGCCAAAATGTATTCTGCTACATCTTTGCTAAAAAAAATTCCCAATATGTGTAAATTAATTAGTTTACGTGAAAGTTATAATGTTTACAAATGGAGGTATATACACTGGGATTTTTTTTAATGGCGGCGATCAACGACTTATAGTGGGTCTGCGGCGGGCATTCTGACACTGGGGGGGGGGAATTGACTTGCTGTCACTTATATCCCCAGTGACTCCAGTACAGTTATCAGTGCTAATAAATAGCACTGACACTGTACTAATGGCACTGGGCAGGAAGGGGTTAACATCTGGGGTGATCAAATGGTTAACCAAGTGCTGGGTGTGTTTTACTATGGGGCTGTGTCTGTGTGCTTTACTGTAAGCACACTGCTTTGCATGGCTGTGCTGTGCACAGCCATGCAAAGCAGTTTGCAGAAGCCGACAGGGAGGAGAACTGTTTTGTTTACTAACAGTTCTCCCCCTCGTCAGAGATCCCCGGCAATCACTGGTCGGGACCTGGAGGCTGACAATAAAAAATCTAAAAAACAGCCCTATTTTTATCATCATCTACCCAAGGTACACAAAAACCCTACCTGCCCTCGTGGCAGACCCATTATTGCGGCCATGGAGAACCTAATCAGTGGCTTGTCCCAATACGTGGATTTTTTTCCTGCTCCCCATTGTTCAGGCTCTCCCTTCATATGTGCGAGATTCTCTGCATCGTCTCGACACCTTATCTCATTACACATAGAAGGAATCTTATTTATGGCCATCACTTCATTGTACACCTCCATTCCCCATGAGGCTGGTCTTACAGCCATGGGACATTTTTTGGCCAAAGAACCCCATCTCCACCACAGGCAGGCCCATTTCATTTTGGAGGGTGTCAAATTCTGCTTGGAGCACAATTATTTTAAGTTTCAAAGGGGCAACTATCTCCAGGTGCATGGCAGCGCCATGAGTGCATCTTTTGCACCGTGCTATGGCAACCTCACCATGGGTTGGTGGGAGGAGTCATTCATCTGTAGAGGTAACCTCTATGCTGAACACGTCATCTTTTGTGGTAGATATATAGATGGCGTCATTGTCATCTGGGATGGTCCTCCATTGTCTATTGTAATAGTAACCAGTTGGGCCTCTTCTTTACTCATATCAGCAGTCCTGAGTCCTTGGTCTTTTTGGACCTAGAATTGTCACACCTGGAGGGACGTTATTGTGTCCAAAACTCATTTTAAACCTGCGGGCAATTCTTATTTACACTACAAGAGCTGACACCATCCTAAATGGGTAGAAAATATCCCCAAGGGCCAGTTCTGCAGATTACGCAAGAACTGTACCCAGGATTGCGACTACATGGAACAAGGGTTAATCTTAACAGATAGGTTCTTGGACAAGGGTAATGTCCCGGACGTGGTGACTAAGGCATATCAAGCTTGCTGCTTTCCATCTTCCAGGAATAAACACAAATCCACAGAGAACTTTGGAGATGTCAAATTTATCACTCAGTATCACTACAAACATAGGCAAATGGAGAACATATTGAAACGTCATTAGGGCATTTTGCTCCAAGATCCAAAAATAGGCCGAGTACTGACGGATAAACCTAGGATTATCTACAGGAAAGCACATAGTGTTAAGAATATGGTTGCTCCCAGAATTGATTCTTCTGCACCTTCTTCAGCCCATCCCCGGCCAACTTTTGTCATCTCACTGGTATGTATCAGTGTAGAAAGCTGAGGTTCAAAATGTGTAAGTTTTTGTTACAAATTGGCAGAAACATTTCTCTGATTGGGGGGGGGGATATACACCATCAAAAGCTTTTACATCTGTTCCACTGAATATGTCTACTGCCTGTCCTGCCCCTGTGGATTCCTCTATGTGGGCCATACCATCTGGACAGCAAGGGCACGTTCTTGGGAACACGGGAGGCTCATAGAGCACGGCAGCGAAGACCACAGTGTCCCGCGACACTTTCTTACCCAGCATAAGTTCACGTAGGGCCTGAAGGTTTGAGTCTTAGAATCCATCCCCCCCTGTGACTGGCAGATAGGTTTCACAGGCTATGCACCAGAGAGACATTTTGGTTCTTTACTCTCAATACATTGTTACCCAAAGGGCTCAATGAAGAGCTGGAAATTAACACCATCATTTAACTCTGGATGATCGCCAGAGTGCATATCATGGTTCTAGTGTTATCCCTTTATATATAGGTACATTTTGCATATTTTAAAGTCATCTCATATAGTTAGTATTACTTTTATTATTTCCTATATTTATGTTTTTTTATACATACTGTTATTATGAGTTTACTATATGTAAGGTGGATCCAACCATCTAGCTGCATGGCCTTTTTTCCTTTTTTTTATCCCCCCAGCCCTTTCTTTTTCCCCCCTTTCCTCCTCCCCCTGGCCATTCTATTTGAATATGCTTTCGGTATTATTTGATTGTCACACTATACCGATCCAGTTTATATTTGATTTTCAATTAGACCCTTTGTGGTCTTTTTCCTTTCCTTTCAATTCTGTTCAGTTTAGATATTTTAAACACCATCCCCTTGCGGTCTTTCCTCTGATTCAATATTCCTCCCACCCCCCTTTTTTTATTGGCCCTTTCCGATCTGACAGCCTATTTATACTCTTTTGCCCTAGGGGCGGGCCTGTTTAATAAAGGAGGCAGAGCCTCGGAAACACTTGTTATCCACAGCACCTGTCAGATTTCCCGACCATCTGGCCGGTCTGCACGGAAAGACGCTGCAGACATTGTCTCCAGTTGGTCTCTCCCCACACCCTGCAACGAACGTTGGCTCCACCATCCCAGAAAGCAGCTCCTGTTTCTGCACTTATCCAGGACGTTTATTCCGTAAGAAATTGGATAACGGATTTATCCCCATTCAGGGGCATGTACCCTTGTGGACGATGTCAGATCTGTAGGTTTGTTGACTGTACAAATAGATTTACAGATGCCGATGGACAAAAGGTTTATTATACTAAGCAATTTCCGAACTGAGCGACAACACGAGTACTATACATGCTTGAATTTCCTTGTAACAAAATATATATCGGTAAGACTAAGCAACAGCTGTGAGTGCGTATAGGTGAACACCTAGGCAGCATTACTAACAAGCATGATAAGACCCCAGTTGCTGAACATTTTGCTAAATTTCATAATTCATCCACTATAGGACTCAGGGTCAAGGCTATTTATGCCTTGAATCTCTCCACCCGCAGGGGAAATTTTCACTCTATCCTTTTGTGGAAGGAGTGGATATTTAAATTGGGGTCTTTGGCACCCAAGGGACTCAATACGGAATTGAGTTTACAGGTTTTCTTAGAATCTTAACTCTTGTTCTCTTCAGCTGGTTATAATGTGGTTCACTGACATACTATCAAAACTTGCAGGGTATGCTTCAATATGTGTTGTATGATTTTATGATATTGATTCACTTTCTATTAATATATAATTGACAATGTAGTAATTTGCGATGTCTTAAGTGACAAATTAAGGCTGTGGTTCCCTGTGGGTTAATCCAGAAATGACGTATTGGTCTCCATATAATCCCTTAATATGCAGGCCAGAGTATCCTGAAGAAGCTCACGTGATTTGGTGGGCGAAGCACGTTGACATCACAGCGTCATGACGCCCGAGTCCTGGACACTCAGACTCCCCCATGCGGCTTTACAAACCAGCCACGCCACACTGGACTTGCTACTGCAATCAATGCATACTTACCTTTGCATGGAGCGTGAGCTCAGGGCATCATTCAGCAGGTCGGGATCCATCAGAATCAGTGACCATAACCAGAGTGGTGAGCCTATACAACTGCACCAGGTTGTGTCTGTACTGGGGTCAATCCCCTGGATTGTGATTGCTGAGCGTTGCACACCTGGTTACTCTTCCTATCTGCACACAGAGAGCGGCTGTGCTTTAATACAACTCTCACCCATATACTGGTTTCTGCTATCTGTGGCTGCTATTTACATGTGATGGCATCACTTACCTACTTCAGTGACATGGTTGTCCTCCATCATTATATCTAATTAGCTTTGACTGCAAGTGGATATTTTTTTACACAGGACGTCATCACTGACTATACACATTTTTTTCAGATTGGTGGACTGCCTAATTGTTTTCAGATTGCATATGCAGATATCCGATTCCTCCTTGTTTCAGGGGCCCTTATTTCCATTGATTTGCAGTCTCGTTGTAGATGCAATTGAACTCCTCACTCAGTATTGGTCCTTAGGACCCTGTGCCTCCATGGTTTCATCTCTTTGCTTTGCATGTCTGAGTGTGTATGGAGGGTCTGTCTGTGTGCTCGGGCAGGTGTTTTTATGATTACAAAGTTGTCATATTGTTTTATCGTTGTGTAGGGTGAAAGGTATATTGTGCTATTTTTGTAGTGTTCAATAAATGTTGTAAAACCGCAGATTTGTTCTCTTTGGGACTTCTTTTTGTGGGTTCCTCACCCACGAATCAGTGTTTTTGTCATATATTCTGTTGGTCCCGAGAACTTTGGTGAGTCGGCCATACTATTTACAGTTGCAAGAAAAAGTATGTGAACCCCTTGGGATTACGTGGAGTTTTGCATGAATTGGGCATAAAATGTGCTCTTAACGTCATCTAAGTCACAACAACAGAAGAACACAGTCTGCTGAACATAATGCTACACAAACATTAGATGTTGCCATGGTTTAATTGCACATTTTAAACGGCCATCTATACGCCAACTGAAGCTCCGCAGAGGATGGGTGATGCAACAGGACAATGACCCAAAGCATACAAGTAATTCAACAAAAAAATGGCTGCAACAGCACAGAATACGCCTTCTGGAGTGGCCCGGTTAGAGTCCTGACCTGAACCCGATTGAAATGCTGTGGCATGACATTAAGAGAGTGATTCACACCAGACAACCCAAGAATATTGCTACACTGAAACAGTTTTGTGAAGAGGAGTGGTCCAAAATTACTCCAGATCGTTGTACGGGTCTGATCTGCAACTACAGGAAACGTTTGGTTGAGGTTATTGCTGCCAAAGGAGGGTCAACCAGTTATTAAGTCCAAAGGTTCACATACTTTTTCCTCCCTGCACTGTGAATGTTTACATGTTATGTGCAATTAAACCATGGCAACATCTAATGTTTGTGTAGTATTATGTTCAGCAGACTGTGTTCTTCTATTGTTGTGACTTAGATGATGTTCAGAGCACATTTTATGCCCAATTCATGCAAAACTCCACGTAATCCCAAGGGGTTCACATACTTTTTCTTGCAACTGTATATAATATTTTGGCAGTGGATCCTGATTTTGTTTTAATTTTTATTTTTTTGTTTTGAGTGCATATGTCCCTTCTAGATGGATCAGGATTTATTTGTGCTGCAGTGGCTGTCATCATAAGTGTATTTTACACTGGATATACTATGGATTGAGTATATTTCTTGTCCATGTCTCCCTGTTAGGCCACAGAACTAAAGCCTTCGATTGAGGTCCTCTGTAGAATTTGCTAAAAATATCTTTCAATGGTGTGTTTCTC